CAACTGGAAACCCCCATAAGGATGTATATATAAAATCTGCAGGTAGGGGCCTATAGAAGCATCCAAAGGTCATACTTACCTGGAATACAAAAGGGAAACCCTTATGATGTTCTCTTTCTGACTGCCAGCTCACTAAAGCAGAAGCAATGTAGTGAAGTCTAGTTGACAGAAATTATGGATAGAAAGTGAGGTATATTCTGAAGGGGGTCAACACCATAAGGGCAGAAGGTACATCTGTGGAAAAATAGGGTTCATATAAGAAAGGAAGGCACTAGATCAGGTCATAGATAGGGCTGGGATGTAGGCACATCATCCAGGGAAGCATAATGAGGCATCCAGCCTGCTGGGAAAGACATATGGAGAAGAGATATGGGGATTCTCTGGAATAACAAAAGTCTTGGGTTATTTTATTTGAGAAAGAAGCTGTGTGTGATGAGAGATGGGAGGTGGTGTTTTCTTTACTCTCCAACCCCCGAACTAAATATAAAAACTATAGCAGTCCTTGTAGTCCATTATCTATCTGACATAGATTGTTTTTTTCTGAAGGATTCCAGAGTTATGATTTGAAATCCTGGTCTCACTGAAATCATTTACTTCCAAGAGGTCACAATTTCATGGATTGAGCTCCTTGTCATTGAGAAGGTTCATTTATGCAGTCCCACAGATCTCAGTTCTCTCATGTGACCTTTATATAAAATCGTTGAGGGAAACTGATATAGAATGGACTGAAATGCTAGAAATATGCTGATGACACCAAACTCTGTCTCTCATCCAGTGCAGAGTATGCTATTTCCCAGCTATTTTAGAGCCTGAAGGAAATTAGGACCTGGAGGACAGGAAACAACATTAAGCTGAACTCAGGTAAAATGGAGGTGATGGACAGTAATAGGATGAGGATTCAGTGATGGGCCATGCTCTTCTGTTGAGAGCATCGGCCCTCTTGTAGTCAAGGTGGTTTGCAGACTTCGTGTCAGGCTGGATTTATCTGTGTTTCTGGATAGCCAGAGAGTAATTTTGCTCAGAAATCCCAGCTTTCATTTTCATCTAACTTGGGGAATTTTCTCTTCACTCTCAGACATAATTCCATGATTCCTGTTTTGCTACTTCCATACAGCTGTGGTGCAATGCCTTTCACCTAGAATAAATTGAGTATCCACATGGAGATAATATGTGGTCCATCACCTCCTTACTTGCTCAGTCCAAAGAGATCATATTCAGTCAGTTGCTAGTATACCACTGGCATATGCTTATGGCATATGTGTTGATGTATAAAATTGTCTGGACAGAACCCAATCTCAGATGATGCTCTTACCTGATATCTTAAAATATCTGCTACAGCACCAGAATGCAAGACAATATATGTTACGATAATCATCCACATAAGATTGCAGAATCATAGGACTGGCAGGGACCTTGAGAAGTCATCTAGTCCAGTCCCCTGCACTCATGGCAGGACTAAGTATTATCTAGACCAGGGGTTCTCAAACTGGGGGTCGGGACCCTTCAGGGGATTGCGAGGTTATTACATGGGGGTTGCAAGCTGTCAGCCTCCACACCAAAGCCCGCTTTTCCTCCAGCATTTATAATGGTGTTAAATATATAAAAATGTGTTTTTAATTTATAAGGGGGGGTCACACTCAGAGGCTTGCTATGTGAAAGGGGTTACCAGTACAAAAGTTTGAGAACCACTGATCTAGACCATCCCTGACAGGTGTTTGTCTGACCTGCTCTTAAACATCTCCAGTGATGTGAGATAGATAATTGAACTTTAAAAATATTTATTTAATGCTGCCAATGGGATAATCACTATTCTCCTCCACCTGTGGGAAGCAGAAAAATCTTTATTTTACATTAACAATTACCTGCTTACTTCTGCCTTTTCTTACCAGAATTTTTAAAAAGTTCATTGCTTTGAAATTCTAGTACAAATTACACATTTTATTATGTTATGTTCCCCATGATGTAACCTGACTGACTCTGATTGTGAAGTACATACTGCTATACACATATTTTTGAATAGTGAGTTCAACTATAGCTATTTGGAAAATATACTATTAGCTGTGAGTCCATTGATACATTGTATCTACTACTGCTTACACTCCCCCCCGCCCATGCGTACCATTTTATAAGTATAAAGCAGTGATACATCTGGCATATATTTAAGACACGTGCCACTTATTATGCTTCATAACTTCCTAGATGCTAAGGATGGAGGGGGTATTCAATTAAAGTAAAGTGCCCTCAACAGAGCATGAATATTGGGTTCAACACAATTTAAAATATATTAAATTTTTCAAGGAGGCCATAAGCCTTATATATCTTAGATTAGTGGGGTTCTGCTCCTGCTTCAGCATGCTTCATCAAATGAACAGACATTATTTTTCATACATTTCATTATCACTCCGCTGATGTGTGAAAGGTTTGTAAGGATCTTTTGCAGGAAAACTTCAAAGTAATGTTTGAAATAATTATTGCATCTCTTCCTTCACTAGAATTTTGAATGTCATGGGATAAGAAGGAGGTGGTATGATTCAGTTGGTCAGACATGAATTGCTGGGGACTGATGGATTGTCAGAAGTTTGTTAAATATCATAACTGTTTATTATAATAAGGATTCATTGATACATTATGCTATATTTACAAGAAAAAAAACTCAAATGTAGACAGTAAACTATTGTTTTATTGTAAAAATTATATTTTAAAATCACCTTTATTTAAGTCAAATTAGTTCAACCTGCTCTCCATGCACATTCTGTATACTTCCCATCCACTTTTGCAGCTTTGACTAGGTGTTAATGTACCAGATTATTATTATCTATCTCCATTACAGTAGTGCATAGAGGTATGAAGCAAAATATACAAGCTAGACAAAACGTGGGGAAAAGGAAATATCCCCATTTCACTGTTGTGGTACTGAGTCATGGAGAAGTTAAGTGATTTGCTGGTGGGTCATAAAGGAAGTTTATGGCAGAGTTGGGAGTTGAATCCTGGGTTTCAGTGTAGTGCCTTAACCACAGAAATATCCTTCCTATCTCAGCCACATTTGGGGAGATAACTAGAAAATGATCTGGTCTTTCATAGGTCAATACAAATGACTTAAAGCAGGAGAGGTAATAGAATATGTATCTCTTTGATGCCCAGAAGCAGGCAGTATCAACAAAGTTTAGTGTTTCACTTGCAGATGGAAAAAATTAATTGCACTGCCACCAAATAACCCCTCTTTCATCTGCATACAGGACTCATGGCCAAGGGCAGTTTCCTTGATCATGATGCCACAGAAATGTGTTTCAATGACATTAAACTGCTTCCCTCCTTCCTTAAGTTTTGTTCCTTTATAGTTATAAACAGTAGACAAAAGATGAAGTAGGAAATTACAAAACACATTTGTTCTGAAGTCTCATATAAACCACTAACATTCAGGATGTTACTCTACAAAAGCTCGAACACATGCTTAACTTTAAGCCTCTGAGAAGTTCAGTTGAACTCAATGGGACTATTCATGTTTAAAGTTGAATACGTACATAAGACTGTGCAGGCTCAGGGCCTTAAAATGGACAAAGAACCCTACAAAAAAAACCCCAAAACAAACAAGTGATAAACTCTATGAAGTAAGCATTTTAACAGAAACAAAAAATACAAACATTTATTGTGGCTTTGTGTCTACCTACAAGAAAGAACCTCTTGAGTTTCATGGCCATTGATGTCTGTCACTGGGGGTTAAATAAAGATTTTTCCCCTTGCTCGACGCACCAGTGGCCCAGAATTTCTTGCTTGGGATTTTGTGGTGAGTTCTTCCTTTTCCTCATTTTTAGGTATGTCTGGTACTTACTGTACAAATGAGAATATAGCCCATTATTTTCCCAGCATTGTTAGAGTTTTATTTACTTTAAAGTGATTATTCTAACCAGACAGTTGTTTGAGACCTCAGACAGAAAGAACTAGCCTGTTACATCACCTGCTTCCCTATGCCAAAACAAACTGTTAAACTGAGAACTTCTCAAAAAATACAGAGCAGTTGTGTGTTTGTGCAAGATGGTAGCAATAAATGGACAAGTTTTGGGATAAAGTAATTAGAGAAAGGATTGTTATTATTTTCATTACTATTGTTTAATACTGTATTATTATATATTAATATAGAATTAACTAAAACTTCCCGCCCAGCGTTACAGCATGGAGCTATCTACCAAAGCAGCTTGAGACACACAAAATGGGAATCGCCTCAGACAGGCTTTCACTCCTGTTAAGCAAGGGGAGTTTAGTTATTCCGCGATGATTATGTGTTTGTATCAGCAAATTCATCATGAGGCAAACTATCATATCTTTAGCTGGAGAAAAAACACCAGGATCAAGGATTTCAAAGGTAAAAAATGTGCAAAGGAAATGGTATTTTCCAAATTCAGTGCCAAATTCTATGAGATGTCCAATACCTGCAAGTTTAGACAGTTGAGCACTTTGCCTCTGAAAAGAGGATGAATATCTTCAAAATCTTATTTGGAACAGCACCAACTGAAATGAAAGGGAATGTGGAAAGAAGCCATGCGTGTGTGGCAGAGGGGAATATTATCAAATTACAACTGTACTTGCCTGGTTGTGTTATATCTATCTATCTATCTTTCTCTTTAGATGGATAAATTTGCTCCAATCCCTTGATAAACAGAAAAGCTCAGCCTCTGCCCTTACATTACTGAAATATTCACACAACTTCACTTCTAATCTACAGAGAGAAACATACAAGATGTACCTTCAAACTTACAGCACTGATTGAAATAAGCATCCACACTCTGAGAGATGCTCTGCTATGCTCTTAAATAAATATAAAGTGTGATAAAGCACTTAGGATTTTTTGTTTTGACAGGTGGGTGGCATGAAGCCCAGTGAATTCTAATAATTCCCTCCTACTTCCTGGCACCATAGAAACTCATGTGTTCAACTTCTTCCACCGAAAGGTGACCATGTAATTTTTATAGTTTATGTTTGTATCTGTAGCACTGAAAGGAAAGTATTATATTGTAGTTGAGAATAACTGTATGACAGAAGTTACTAGATGCTTCATCGAAAGCAGTGTAATTGTAGTGATGTTAAAGAACTCTGTAGTAGGTACACCAGAAGACAGCTCTGTATGCAAGTAGTGCAATATACCACTATTAGCTGAATGGAGAGACTATTGGTACAGTAAAGTTCTGCCTTTTTCCAGCAATAGGAACATATAAAGTACAGGAAGGTGAACCAGTTTCGATAATGTCAGAATCAACAAAGTAAAAACTAATTGAGAAGGGAAACAATAGTAGGATATTCTAATAAAGAGCAAACAGATGTGTGTAACCAAATTAGGTCCATCTCATACAATGGACTTCAGTCCCTCTAGAAACTCATCTCTAGGCCAACCCAGCTCCAAAGGTCAGCATGGAGATAGCTGAGATCTTGTCCTGCCTGTCCCCAGAGTGAGTTTGTTTGTACTTTGGGGACAATCCCTGCATCATCTTGAATATTATTATCCTTGTGGGACCTTGCTCAAGTTGTATGAAGGGTAGGAGAAAGGCATCGAGATCTCCACACATCCGTGTAAGGGCCATGGACAGTCTGGTCCTGAAGGAATCTGGGTATATTGATTGAAGGCTACATTTTAACCTCCAATTTCCAGTGAAGACAATAGACAGAAATGCCATATATAAAGTTTTGTGTTACTCACTGTGGGCCTTCATCACATGTTGGGTCTCACACCTGGCCCTTGGCAGGGGGAGAAGTACAAAGGCACATTACTATCAATTAGTTCAATCTGTGTACCAAACAAAATGCACCACATTCTCTTCTAGTATGAACAGGCACAGCTCCATTGACTTGAATTTGGCCCAAGCTATATACTGTATTCCCATTAGAAAGCATTGAAATCCTTAGGCTGGATTTTCTCCACACAGAGGATCTTTTTATCTTTGAAAAAAGTCATTTAGTTTCTTATTCCTTTAAAAACAATAATATTCAACATGGCTCACATTTTATTTATTACGCTATTCTTGTAGCGGTATGTCTCTCCTCTTTCCTCCCCCCCCCGATAAAAGGAGTAACAAGCACTGCAGTTTGCTTTCTTCACAATGTACAGCACGCTTGTTGGTTCATTACCAAGTAGCAATAAGCAGGGAAAATTTACTGTGGTGCCAGCATGTAGTTAAGCAGCATGTTTCTCTGCCAAGGATGAGCCATAAAACACTGTCTCACTTACACAATGATTGCTGTGATGAGTGACACCAGGAATAGATAAAAGTAAAATAGCTGATGTATGGAATCCACTTTCATAACTGTAAATGATATCAGGTGTTTGCATTTACTTTAAAGTTGATCAAATGTAAAGCAAGGTAGTGATGACAGATGCTGGAAAAGCATTAACCTTTGCTTTCATCTTTGTGTGCATGTATTTAGCTTAGACTAGAGGGCTCCTTAGGAAAGATGTGCACAAATTGGAGAGAGTCCAGAGGAGAGCAACAAAAATGATAAAAGGTTTAGAAAACCTGACTTGTGAAGAAAGGTTAAAAACATTGGGCATGTTTAGTCTTGAGAAAAGAAGACTAATAATAGTCTTAAAATATGTGAAGGGCTGTTATAAACAGGGTAATAAAATGTTCTTCATGTCCACTAAAGGTAGGGCAAGAAGTAATGGGCTTAATCTGCAGCAAGAGGGATTTAGGTTAGATAGTAGGAAAAACGTTCAAACTATAAGGGTAGTTAAACTCTGGAATAGGCTTCTAAGGGAAGACGTGGAATCCCCATCATTAGAGATTTTTAAGAACAGATTGGACAAAACACCTGCCAGGGATGGTCTAGTTTTCCTTGGTCGGGCCTCTGGGGGCTGGACTTGATGACGTCTTGAGGTCCCTTCCAACCCTACATTTTATATCCACATCTTTATCTAATATTAATTGGATTTTGATACATCAATCAATAAGTGTGAGTAATGAGTGTATGTTGCTATATGAGAACTGCTCCTGAGAGTACAGGCAGTGCAGTTGTGGATGGCCCCTTAGTGGGGAAAAGAGCAAAATGAGTTAGGCCCCATGGCTCACATTCTCAAAGATATTTAGGTGCCTAGCACCCATTGATCTCAATGGGAGTTAGATGCCTAAATACCTTTGAGGATCTAAGCCTAGGTGTCCTTTCCCACTCTTCTTGGACATGATACTGCACCACTGAATTCAATGGGAATTTTGCCATTGACTTCAGTGAGTGCAGGATGAAGCCCCTTGTGCACCCACACAAGGCCAGTCACAATGTGGCCATGTGTAGTTCAGTGTCTTCAAGACAACAATATTGTCCCCATTCTATAGTACCTACCACAATACATGTTTATGCACAGCAAATACAATAAAACTAGAGTTGGCTCAAAAACAGAAACAAAAATCTTGCAAATTTTAAATTTGGTCCCTCCCCCAAAATTTCTGCAAAAGTGTTTTTGGTTTTCCAAGAACAAAAATCTAAACTAAAAAGTGAAAAAAATGTCAGATTTCAAAAGCCTTCAAGTTTTCTTTTCTCCTCCCCTCTTGCTTTTGCTCCATTTTTTTCCTTCCTCCTTCCTTCACTTATCCACTTGCAATTTCTCTGGGTTTTTTTTTTCTAGTTTTTCACTGAAAATGAAAATTTTCAGAAGGAGAAAAAAACCATTTTCATCAAAAAATGTTTGTGATTGAAAATTTTCACCTGGCTCTAAGTAGATGCATCTTTCTAGCATTATTAAAGATGCTTCAATTGTCATTAGATGGTGGGAGCGTGTGTATGTTCTCGCTGCATGCTGTGCGGGCTCTGGCCACATCGCCTGTACAGCAGGCTCTGATTGAACTGCCCAATAACCACAGACCCGTTAGTAGCAAAGGAACTTGGTCAGGTTTATTGTCGACGAAGCATAGTATTAGTGCCTTATACTTGCTAATGTACACTTAATACATGTATGCCCGTGACAATGGACGCAGCTCAATGAATGGTAGGACTTTCCATTCCCTCTAGGCTCGCCAAAGACATTCCCCTGAGACCTCATTTTATACACCAATACAAACAAGTTATGTATTCCCCTCTGATATGGTTAGCTACCACCCGCTACCTTGTACATGTTGGTTTGATCAAAACACCTCTATCCATCACACTGTCATCCTAACCTTATCTTTAAGGGAGGTCAATGTGTCCATGTTATCTTTGGGGAATGTGTTGGTATTGAAGTGTTCTGGTACCACCCTTTTGGAATGTGTTTGCACGAGTAGCCTGTGCCTAACACTTCTCAGGAATGTGTGTGCAATACTAGTCCAGTTCTTGACAGGTTCTGTGAGCTTGCACGCAGGCAAAGCCTGACTTCTGATCACAGTCTGTCTCTTGCTAACTTTGCTTTATATTTGCAAGGCTTTACCACTACTTTAGTTCAGGCTTCAGGTATCATACCAGGCCTCTTGTCTTAGAGGCTGTCTTTCTACTAAATCAATCAGTTAAATAGAGAGGATGGGGAGATTCATAAGGTCAGAAGGGACTACTGTGAGCATCTAGTCTGAACCTTCTGTATAGCAGAGGTCAGGAAACTTCCCTGCACTAATTCCTTTTTGAACTAGAGTATATCTTTTATAAAAACATCCAATCTTGATCTAAAAATTGCCAGTGATGGAGAATCCACCACATCCCTTGTAAGTTGGGAAGCCTGCCTCAGCTGAATTTCTCCATTTCCCATATTGTCAGTGTACCATTTAGCATTCAGGGATATGTAAATGTATTTTTATCACTGGTAAACTACTCTTAAAGTAGGTAGAAAATGGCTTTAGTTTTTTTCTATAGAACTTTCATAAAGCTTTTAGCCAATATCCTGTAGTTCCTTTTTTACTCAGTCCTTTCTAAGACAAATTTAAATGCAAATTTTATCCAATTAAGAATGAAGGGCCAGATTTTTAAAAGGTATTTAGGTTCCTAACTCCCATTGAAATGCATAGGTGTCACGTCACTAAATACCTTAAAAAATCTGCTCCAAATGAAAAATGAGTTCCAAATTTAGGTTTCATTTAAACTGGTCTAACTCTAGAGTAATTACATTTACTCTAAGTAGTTACTCAAGATTTATACTTGTGTAATTAAGAACTGAGTTCTGAAATTGGCCCGGAATAAGGAGTCAATATTTGTCTCACTGATAAGAAGACTAAAGACTATTTTCCTTTAAATTTGAAATTCTACACAAAATTCTGTTTAAGGGAAGGGGTGGTGCCAATTATTTTCATGGTAGGTTTCCTCAAGGGAATAAGGAAGAGAAGGAAGATGTGGTGTGAATGGGGGTTATATGTCATTCATAAATAAAGGTGTAGCCAGTTGACTATATACAGCATGAATCCACATCCCCAAACCCCACCTGTGTAGTTGTGGGACTTAGAAATTTGCTGCATCGCCCACCTTTTTTCCCTAATAACCCAGCAATAGCTTCAGGCAGTTGATAATAGAGCCCCTGTTGGGCCTACAGATTCCTTACCTTAGCCCTTTCTGTGATCAGGCAACACTGCTTTTATAGAAGATTAAGGTAACCTTCCATTTTACTCATTCCAGTTTGGAAAACTTGCTTTATCCAGAAATTCCAGTGTGTCCTCTAACCTGATAACAGACAATTGTACTTTCCTCTGACTTTTTGACAATTTGGGGTATTCCTAAAGCTTTTCACAAAACTGGTCTGTACCTCTATAGATTCCTGTAATAAAGAATGGCACCAAGATAATACAATGGTGGGTCCAGTAGATATAAATTAATAGATAACACTAGAGAGATAATGAGGAAAAACACAATATAAGCCTTTGTTTTGTCATTATTCAACTAACTGAGTGGGAGGAAAATCACAGGGGCAGGAATCAAATGTAAATCTTCTACAGATTACTTCAGAGAACTACCAGTAAACCACTGGGCAGCGCATTAAATATATATGCATATCTAAATTCTTTTTAAAGTCATACAATTTTCTACTTTTTAAAAATGTAGAAAACAAAACAAGAGCTCAATTTGTGAGTCTCTAAATCTGGCATTTCCTCCTCAGGCAGTGTGGTCTATTGGCTAGAGGAAAACACAGACAGTCAAGAGGCCTGAGTTCTAATCTCATCTTCGTTGTTCTTTGAACTTGGGCAAGCCACTTTGCCTTTGTTCTCCCTTCTATTTTCTGTCTGTCTTCCCTATTTAGTAGAGATGGCCAGAAAACAAGAATTCTGTTTTATGAAAAGTACCAAGCTTTCAACATTTGTTTTCATTCTGATGCAGAATCAAACCCAGACCTTTTGAAATTTTTCAGGCACACACAGGAGATTGTCTCAGGGACTAGGTCATTCAACTGGGATGTGGATGACGCAGGTTTAAGATCCTGCTCTGCCTGATTCAGCCCAGGGACTTGAAATTGAGTCTCCAACATCCCAGGTAGGTGTCCTAAACACTGGGTAGGTGTATCTAGTTTTGACCAGAAATTTCATCCTGGACCTGAGAAACCTTCTCAACAAAAAGACATTTTGTATAAAAGTTCCCAACCAGCTCAACCATTTAGACTGTAAACTCTTTGAGGCATAGACTGTTTCTTCCTGTGTGTTTATACAGTGCCTAGCACAATGGGGTCTTTAGACCCTCTAGGTAAAGCCCTGCACATATTAAAAATTTATATCCACAGATACAGATATCCACAGATATAAAACAGATATCCACAGAGCTGCAGGCCTCTACCAGGAACCACAGTGGCGAAAGCAGCAGCA